GGGTTCTGGATGTCGAGACGCTCGCTTGTTGCGAGTGGGACCCTACGTTCCGAGGGGCCGGTCTCCGTTTCGGGAACCGTCGTACCGGTTCCAGCCGGCGCCCACGCGGCACACAGAGCACATTGCCACCTGGACCACTCTGGCCCCGGACGGGTCTGCCTTCGGCTGGTGGGCGTGACTCGCATGGGATGACCAACCCCAGGTCCCGATGGGAGCACCGGCCGGTCAAGTCCCGGAACCCTTTCGACACCTGACCCTGATCTCCTCCGGAAGTCGGACGATGTCATGTACGAAGACGACGACGCTTAGCACGTGCGCTCCCAGAAAGGGGGGGGTGGGGGGGGGGGGGGCGGGGGAAGTGGAGTGAGTGTGGGGGCGCTCACACGCGGAGGGGGGGGGGCGCCCCCCCCCCCCCCCTATATGAGTGGGGCCAACTCTGCCCAGCGCCGCTGGGGAGCCGACAAGTAATAAACACTGTTGTTGTTGAACTGTATTCCGGGTGTCGTACCTCCCTATGGGCAGCAGCAAAGCCAAACCGCTGCAGGCTGTATAAACAAACCCACACAAATTTTGTACCTGATGAAGTCGCTTCCCTTCAGTCTTGCACACGTTACTCGAGAAAAGTAATGAATATAACAATTTCTATTACTCTCGGTTAAAAAGTATTTAATTAGATAACCTGGTGCCTTAAAAAAGTAATTGGCCGTTACTTGAAAAAGTAACCGCTACCTTTCCGATTAGTTAAAATTTTGAAAGCGACACATTTTTCGGAGAGCCTTTCGAGTCTTCATTACTGAATTATGATCACCTAAGTATAAACTACTAATTCACCGATTTTGTCAAACCATGCTTTCGTGGGAGACTTGGTTCGAGGATTTTCTGGCAGGAAACTTGTACAGACAACGGGCGCCATTAGAAAGGAGAGGAAAAATACTAACGGTTACAAGGAGTTTTAGTACTTACAGAAGTAATTAAATTACTCTTGTGATTACTTCATAATGAATGAAATCGAATAAGTACAAAATTACTCCGAAAAAGAATCAATTACAAGCAATTTCATTACTTGTAGCGCGTACTGTACAAGTCTGCTTTCCTGTCGTTTGCATCAGCGCGGTATAGGTAAGTCGACGAGAGAAATTGCGACTTTATGCATTCTTCCTTAAAAACAAACAATACTTCCTTTCACCTCAAAGGGGCGATGCAACAATTTTTCCACTTTCAATAAATACAGCTTAGAATTATTCCTCGACATTTATGACCCGTAAAACACATGGTTCTTCTTCTTTTTCTCTACGCAGTGGCAATCGCAGAAAAAAATCGAAAAAACCAAACACAGTTTATTCCTTTAACTTGCAGCCTGAAATACGGCCACGTGATCTGGAACCGATTATATGCCGAAAATGTTTTTAATGTAGTCACGTATTGGGGTCGGCAGAGCACAGGGTGCGTACTGAGTTCCACGCATTCTTAAGGTTCGCCTATTCCCGTCATCCCAGCGATTGGGCAAAAGCCGCTACCCGAATGCTTGTCGAGGCATGGATTGTCACGAGCCAAAATCAAATGCCTACGCACACCTCGTGTCCACTGCATGAACACAATTTAAATATCGTCCCAGCGGGGATCGCAAAGCTTGATGACCCTTTTCCGGCGATCGCATTGTTGGCGTTGTCTCTGCAGCTGCGTCATCAAGTTTTGCGAAGGAGAGACTGGAAAGAAAGGTCCGCTTTTATCCTTGGAATTTAACCGCAACAAAGACGCTTTTTGGTCAGTTGTGTTGCGTACGGGTATTCTTGGGTCCCACTTAGTGCCACTGAGCTGGTGTAAAGTGAGAAACGTTCTTGCCCGCTATCGGTCCAGGTCCAGACGCAGCCGACGCCACGAGCTGATAAGACCAACCAGACAGCGTCATAAAAGAACCATTATGGTGTTCGTCATGTTCCTGCACGTGTTCTATCGTCGCTGAACCAATCATAAGCAGAAAAGACCCAGCGCTTTTGACGCTGCTTGATTGGTTCCATTAGCTCGTCGCGTCGGCTAAGTCGGGACTTAAAGGCCGACAACCGGGCACTAGATTCTGCAAGGCAGAAGATCCTCCTCACCCTGGAGGAGTAAACAGAATACGGTGGACAGGGTAGAAGGGGGAGAGGAGGAATCGGGGGAAAAGTGAAAAGCGCGAACGGGTCGTCGGTCTTTAAGCTGAAATGAAGTATAACTTCTAAACTTTACACGTATACATGTAGATTGTACCTCGGGCGAAACAACCTTGGAGTAAGCTAAATCATCTGCGATGTACTACCTCAATTACAGCTAGCGGTAATGCGGAAGCGCATGTCATCGGACAGTATTAGAGCACTCTAATGGCCCGATGCGCAACTGCAATTAGCGATGCGGATGCGTACAGTTACACGCCAGGCTGTTAGGGTTCTCTGATAGTAACCGATGCTACACGCTGTCGTGTTCACTGTGATTAAGATAGTCCATTCCAAGTGTAGGACTCAACGCAGTTTTCTCTTGTAAACTCTTGCATAACCTCCAAAAATGTGTTGATAAAAATAACACCGTGGCTTTGAGAGAAACAGCCAAATCTTTCTGTTTAGTAGTTCAGAAAGTGAAGACGATGATCAGCCAAGTAGTTCCACATATTATTTTGGCGTTTGAGAAATTTACTTTAAATCATCTAGCCTGTTTGGCTGTGAAATGGCATCAGAGCGATGTACTCTCGTTGAAACAAACACATTCTCCCGGAATGGACTGAGAGGGTTGAAAAAAATTCAAGCACGTATTTCTGAAGTACACTACACTAGGATCACTTTCCAACAACCATATAATTCAACGTTCAACGCACTCTGGTGCTAATAAATCACACAGAAGTTGTTTATTGAACTTCTGCATTTAGCCCACGTGAGTATGTGTGTGTGTGTGTTTGTGTGTGTGTTGCGCGTATATGTTGGGAGAGGGGTGCAGGTGAGGGAGGTTGGATAAAAGGTAACATGATTTTATTCCTTGATTTAGCTTGACCAACCACCTGGTGGTCCCTATTTTTGAGTAAAATTCGCAGTATGTGAAAATAATTCCACCACAATTTAGTAGCACGATGTTTAGGACGTTGTTCATTAGGGAGCTCATTTTCCTTACCGTATGTGTCAATTGATGCAAAACAATTAACGAGTTACTTTCTATTTTACCACGAGTCCTTCCCAAGTGTGATTTGTCCAACACAACTTTCAGCTTTATCAAATACTACGCTGACAAGCGAAAGCGACTGCGCCGCTCTATATTAGAGCAATGCATGGACAAACGGCTCATTTGTTTATTTCATTATCGAACGAGTTCGTAAGTGCGACAAAGACGCGTTCGGACAACGCGTGTTAAAATAACAGAAACAAGACAAACAATGTGTACATATGTGGAAAGTTATCTAAATAGTTGTAAACGAATTTACTATTTCACACATTAAGGAATAAACTGCATGTGGACAAAAACCAAAACAATGAAAAACAGTTTTTTTTAGCGAAGTGAAAATGTTATGTTTGCTATATCGCTATGATTATTGCCGATGCAAACATCGGTGATTCACGTGACACTGGTTATAGTCAGCGACAGCTTAAGAAATCCCTATATAGCTCTACAGCAAGTGAGATTGTAGCATTAGCCAGTAAGAACACAGAATAACAATTCACGAAGCAAGAAGTTCTGCGTTTCTAAAGCCGTCAATAGCTATATTCAAACACACTGTTTAGAAACTGGCCTACTTTGCCCCTGCGCTTGCGCAGAAAATTCGCGAGAGATTACGTATCATCTGCGCATGCGCAGTGCCGACAGCAGCGCCGCCGCAGTGGCATGAAGTCAAAGAGTTCAGTTGGTGTAACGTAGTCAAAATCACAAATAAGTTTTGTGGGTTACAGTAACCGGACTCAATCGCTGAATGTTTCGCTTTTCTTCAGGAGCCGAAAGTACTACCATCAGTATTATTTATCTACAGTTGGCTAACATAATTACAAGCTAGCGAGGTGGCTGCCAAGCCAATAAATATACGGGCAAGAAGCAGACTTGTACGTAGTTCAACTACTCTACTCAAGTTACTGTAGTTTAATTACCTTTCTGAGTAGTTTAGTAACTTTCAATTACATTTTATTTCGGTAATTAGTAGTTTATTCTAATTATTTTTTCTAAGTAACTTGTCAAGTTACAAGTTACTTTCAAGTTTTAGTGATTGTTTTGCCTACCTACGAACAATCATGCACAAAGGAGATAAGATGTTGGAAGATCAGCTGATATTTGCAAAGAGGGGAAAGCATATGGCGTAGGAGAAGGGGGGGGGGGGAGAAAATGGTATGGAGAGACCGAACCCCCCCACCCACCCCCCAAAAAAAGCATAAGCCTCCCTTTTTGACTGGCGCGCGTCGACGGGGCTCCCATTGGCCGCTGCGCTCGTCAGTTTCCACGACCGCTCACCCTATGGCGCTGCGTGTCCATCAGCACGACGTTAGCACGGAGCGTCCGAGGTCAGCGTGCCCAGGGGAGCACGCGCGCTGACAGGCGACGAAAAGTACGCAGCAGGCGAAAAAGGGAGCGGACGAGCGGCTTGCATGTATTCACAACTCATAAGAAGTGCTTGGGTGTACCTCGAGCTTTTTGGTTCGTAGCCAATAAAATTTCAAGATTCGCCTTTAAAGCGCCGAAGAGCAAATCACGAAGCAAGAAGAGCTAACACAATATGACATGCCCTGGGTTTTACGCTGTCGATGACTGTACAACACGAGCTTTCATGAAGTTCCGAAAAAACTGTAGACGTTTCGCGAAAAAAGCAGTTTCTTAATTTAGAATATTGCGGGAATTTATTCGCCTTTTTACGTAACTGAAGCATGAACAAAAAATGTGACACTTTGAACACTTGTATTTTAAAAACAAATGTATATATATATATATATATATATATAAGTTTACATATTCCACATCCAGTTTCTTCCTCCCTGAATGTTTCGTTCCTTTTCCTCGCTTCAGCCGCTCGGCGTAAACGTGGTGCATTTGACGTTCTTCAAGACCGTTGCACCATTCGAAGTGTCTTGCCCTGTGTTGTTAAAAAATAAAAATTAAAAACAGCGCGACGACAGGGACAAGAACGAGAAAGTAGAGGAACAAAAGCGCTCAATTATAACTTAAGTTTCTTCGTGCTAACATGAAGTATATATTCTGCAACGCCAAACAAACAAAGAAAAAAAAATACATGAAAAACATAGGACGCCACGTGCTCGTTAAGCCACAGTCACTCATTGCTCCAGTGCATCTAAAAATGAACATTGTTTTTCTGACATGTTTCATACCTATGTTGTACTTTCGGCGTAAAGAGGGGCTGCCTTCCAACTGCCTGGTTGCCGTGTCCCAGGCGAGAATGAGGGGTCGCTCCAAGAAGATATGTACCAGGTAGCCAGCCACGACAGAAAGTACGAAGTTGGAGAGGGCAGATGACATCTGATAAAATACAGAGCAGATGAGAGAGTCGTAAGAGAGAGAGAGAGAAAGATCGAAGGTTTTGCATCAACCAAAATATTTTACTAGGAAGAATACGTTCCATTCCGCTCATGTCCATTTGGTAACCCGCCTAGAGCGCCAGGTCCTCGCCTTGCAATGTTGAGTAACGTTGACGATTGGGCTAGCGGATACTTGATTCTTAATAGGACGAGCAGCGCTGCACTATTTGTGCTTCTCAATAGTACAAACGGCGCAAAGGCAGAACTGTCGTCCGTCAGCCTTCTTTTACTCCGTCTGTGCCGTTGCCTTTCAATGTGGGCGTTTCGCGTCTAATAAGAAAACGCACGCGCTCTCTGAGGAAATGGGTTACCACTGCCGCACCCAGACTCCGGGTTTGACAAGACAACCGAAACGGCTGTCTCAGTCTGGTGCTAAAGAAGCCCCCGATGATAGATGTCTCCAGCCACGCCTCCCGATTCAAAAAGAAAACCCCGAGACTACGGCGCATCCAGCCGCTCAAACTACGCAAATCCCGTCCGCGCAAAACCATTGGATCTTGGCGGTGTGAGATGCATTGCTTTAGTAAAGTATTTGGTGTCACTGATGGTCACTGCTGGATCACTGATGCGATAAGAGCGCCGAAGATCGAATCATCACGTATGATAGCACACAAAGCGAGGGATGGCGCTTTGAGGATTGTGCTTTAGGAGTCGAGTGACACTACCCCGCAGCCATTGCTTGACGCCAGAAAGTGCGCGAGAGTTCACAGCAGGAACGTTAGAAAATGCCGTTTTTATGCGGAGGTGGGTGTCGGCGTTGAAACTTTTAGGATAGTTTTTCGGGAATCATGTCGAGTTTTATTTCCTCGAATATCGAATCCGATAGGCCTCTAAGCCTTTATAAATAAATACTCTGAGGTAAATTGACGGTCCACATATTACGTTGCTAACTCTCCTTCGGGAAGAAGCCGCAATGCGGTTTAGTGAAACAATAATTAGGTTTTGTTTTGCACATTAGCAACCAATAATGGCAGGCCGAAAAGTTGTGCTAAAAAAATGAAGCCGTAATAATGGCTTGCGTCATTATTACGTAGATCGTTATTGGTTGTTTTTTACTGAAAGAAAACAACAACTATACCAAATAGAAATTTTCGTCATTACAAACGCTGGTGCCATTGCTTTTGGTGGAATACTTTGTTTCAAGCTACAGACCGGAAGAATCATGAACCAACTTAAACTCGGAGCATGTATAGTTATTATAATGACCGGGCCGTTTATTTTGCGACGAGGGCAGAATATCCGGTACATCTCTGGGCGCTCTATTGCAACATGCAAGTTGGTCTGCTCCTTACGCCCCTGGTGCGTTTGTTTGCCCCCCAAACGCGCCCATGTGCTTTTGCTCTCCCCCGACCAACGACGGTGGGCACTTGGCTACCTCATCATCGCGCGTTCCCTCCCTATGTAGCTTTCTGATTGGCGTGCTCCGCCTTGCACGCCGATGCGCCAAAGACTCATTTTGGAACGCTAGCTCGTCGTCTAGTCACTGAAAGTTCAGAAACACCGGACGTGGTGAGTACCTTGTTACCACCCTGCATACGAGTTGCGGCATTAGCCGAAAGAGCGCAAATCAGCGAATCACGAAGCGAGAAGCATAAACCTAATAGCTCACGCCCTGTGTTTCTTAAGTTGCCCACACTCTAAGAAATGCGTGCGCGTCTTCTTACCCGCAAAGCAAAACACTCAAAGAGCCAATCTCTGCAATCTAGGAAATCAGCTTAGCGAATGATGAGGCGGAACTTCCGTTTAGACCTAAAAAAATATGTCTGCGCTGTGGCGTTACGCAATGCAAGCATGACGCTTTGCATTGCGTAATGCCACAGCGCAGACTTAATATTTAGCTCTAAGCAAATGCTCCGCCTCATCATTCGCTTAGCTGATTTCCTAGAGTGCAGAGATTGGCTCTTTGAGTGTTTTGCGTGTAAGCACACGCGCAGGCATTCTTTACACTCCAAAAAATGGCCGTGCGTCTACTTTCACGCACAACACTCGGAGAGCCAATCAGCCCAGCTTACGGAGGCAGCTCAGTGAATGACAATGCCGAAACATATGTTTAGAGCGAAAAACGCAGTCTGAGTTGTGACATTAAGCAATGCAAAACGTCACGCTTGCATTGCTTAATGTCACAACTCAGACTGTGTTTTTTGGTCTAAACATATGTTTCGGCATTGTCATTCGCTGAGCTGCCTCCGTAAGCTGGGCTGATTGGTTCTCCGAGTGTTGTGCGTGAAAGTAGACGCACGGCCATTTTTTGGAGTGTACAGGGTAGATTCTTTGAGCTTACATACGTTATCAAATCAAGATATTTTAATGTTGCATAAAATAATTAATGGCCAAATATATAGCAGCTTACTGTCTTCTGTTAACTTACACGTACCTCGACGTTTCAGCAGGCACTCCCGTTTGTTTTATATTGGTTCTCAGGAGAACGTGTATCCGATCACCCTCGTGCAAGTGTCTTTCAATGCCATTTCAGCAGTCATTTTTTGTTAGATCCGTTTACAAATTATGTGTCTTTGAAATGTGAACTTGAAGCTTAGATTTAAGTTATCATTACATTATCGATTTTCTATCTGTGTTTTGTGGAAGCTGTATAATCAAGAACGTGCTTCATATCAAGACTTTGGTCATTCTGAAGGAGGAAATAATAAACAATAATTATTAATATATAATTATTGTTCCTATCTAACGCATATCTCACGTGTGTGCGTGTGGCCGTGCATATTGCCGCGCGCAAGGCTGAGAAAGCAACGCTCGGTCACGGTCCTCCAGAAAGTTCCCGTTTATTCATGTACCGCACGTAACTTCTATCATTCATCCCTGCTTTTGTTTTCTAGAAAGTGCGTGTTCATTCTCGCCCCGATCACGCGACGCTCGAACCGCTTTCGCCGAATCTTCGAGATAGCGACGCACTCTAGATAAGAGGCCGCCCGCGACCTTGTCGAGTCAGTCTCGCCCCAGCGCTCGATTCTGCTGACACGCCGACTTCGACGCCCGCGACGCTCTGCTTTCTTCTGTTTCCTTCTTTATTTTTGGCACAAGTTCGCCACATTAAACGTTTAGTTCTTCCCGTTTATTTCCTTTTATTTTGGTCACCACCCGTGACATCTTGGTGGAGGTGCTGGGTAGCGCATGCCCGTGCAGCGTTCCCCTCCCAGGGCCCGCAGTGCAAGCCCGATTCCGAGCCCGGTGAGAAGACCACTCGACGCGGAACCTGAAACTCGGACCAGTCGCCGCACCCAAGGTCTACACCCGGAATACGGACTTCTGCCACCCAGGACCAAGCAGCCGATGAAGCCGACGATGGACAACCAGTCGCAGGCCCCCGCCGCTCCTGCCGTCGTCTACCTACCCGTCGCTCCTCGGACACCGGCTCCGTTCCACGGCGAACTCCACGAAGACGTTGAAGATTGGATCGACCAATTCGAACGCGTCGCCCGCCACAATAGCTGGACCAACGAGCAACGGCTGCAAAACGTGTATTTCTCGCTCGAGGGGACTGCCAGAAGCTGGTACGAAAATCACGAGTCTTCATTGACATCCTGGGACATTTTCAAGAGCCAGCTGAAGGCGACATTTGTCAACCAGCACCGCCGAGAGAGAGCCGAAGACTTACTGCGTACCAGGACTCAAGGCCCCAACGAGAGCATCACCGGCTTCGTGGAGGATGTTCTCCGCCTAAGCGCCCGCGCCGATCCTCAGGCTACCGAGGAGAAGAAGCTGCACCACCTGATGAGGGGTGTGAAAAGCGAGATTTTCGGCGGTCTCATCCGGAATCCCCCAACAACAGTCGACGAGTTCATCACGGAGGCGACAAATATGGAACGGGCCTTGCTAGCCCGCGCCAGACACTACCAACGACACCCTGGCGTAACTACTCTAGCGACATCTGGATCCGACCTGGGCACCACCCTCCCCGACATCCGTGACCTTATCCGTGAAGCCGTCCGGGAGGAGTTGAAGAAGTTGCTACCTGCTGCCACAAGCCTGGATACGCCCTCAGTCGCCGAGATTGTCCGGGAAGAACTTCAGCAGGCGCTGCAGCCAGAAGTTCTCGCCAGCGCCGCTCCTGAACCACCGAAGCTGAGCTACGCCGCAGCTACCCGACGACCACCGCCCCCTGCTCACCCGTATACGGCGCCACCTCGACGTGAACCTCCAGCGCCGCAGTATTCACGACGCCATGAAGATCGGGCGTACGTCCGCCCAGAACAAGCTGCTCCACGAAAGACCGACGTGTGGAGGACGGCCGATCGACGCCCGTTGTGCTACCACTGCGGGGAGGCCGACCATATCTACCGTCGTTGTCCCTACCGGCAAATGGGCCTGCGTGGGTTCCACCCGAACGACCCACGCCCGAGGTACGGCGAACGCCCTCACGACATCGAGGAGTACCTCCGACGTTCCCCCTCCCCAGTGTCGTCACTCCGCCGTGAAGCCCGCTCCCCATCGCCACGACGTTCAGCCTCCCCAGCGCCACGATCCCGCCGAGAGAGCCTGTCTCCCCTGCGTCGTCGGGAAAACTGAGTGCGGCAACGCCTGGTGGTGACGTTGCCGAAAACGACGGAAGCAAACAGCCTCCAAGAACGCCGGAGCGCTCCCACTCTCTCGACGCCCCGCATTGCACCGACGCGCCTGCAACGGTGTCCAACAACCTAAACGTTGTTATCGATGGCCAAAACGCATCGGCACTCGTTGACACCGGGGCAGACTACTCAGTATTGAGTGGGAGGCTCTCTCGCCACCTTCGAAAAGTCACGACGCCGTGGGATGGACCGCAGATACGAACCGCCGGAGGACACCTCATCACGCCTGTCGGAAGGTGCACCGCTCGCGTCGAAATTCACGGCGAGACGTGTCCTGTGAAATTCGTCATTCTACAAGACTGTTCCAGAGACGTCATTCTCGGCATGGACTTTTTGTGTGAATACGGCGCCGTCATCG